CAATAAACACAAACAATACAAACAGACAAATACATCCTTCACAAACAGTGAAACTTGTAGTTACTGTCCCTTTTGTCACATTACATGAAACAGAAACAATCATACAGTATGGCACGCTGAATTATTTAGTGTGACATTCCAGCAAACTGCATTTTGATTGACCAGATATGTTTGACTCTTTTGTGTGTCAGAATTCACTTGTTCATGTACATTTGAAAAATATTGTTCATAAGAAATAATTAGCGTGAGATTTATTTCCTCATTTACTTTCTATAAGTGAACATCTGTGGTGACACTGCAAGAGAGGAACAACAAGTGAGTGTCCGGTAGGGGTGTGCATCTCTACCTTAAGAGACGATCCGATCCAAATCTAGACACATGAGTTACGATACGATTCACTAACGGAACATTTTAATACATTACAATGCGATTCGATGCGATGCAGCTTGAATCTATTTGTATGGTGAAAAAAATTGAAGAGAAATGTTTCATTTGATGCATTTCATCAAACCAAACTAATGTTCTGCTTTGTGTTGTTGTGGTTAGAGGCTGCTGTGTGTGTTACTGCGAGCAAACTCGAGTTAATCTTCAAATTCTGCTCTGCATCTCTGACACTAAATGCACACACTAACACACAACACAACACAACACAACGTGCTTCTGTGTTGTGAGTTTTGCTTGGTGAGACAATAAATAGTTTTGTGTGTCGCTATTAAACAGGCAGCGTATGTCTGTGTTATGTTGTGACTATCAGCAGTTAATCTGAGCGAGTTTCCTGAATAATCACCAGGTGTTAAACACATGACACAGTGGAAAAGATCTATAGGAATGAAAAGGGATTCTAATCGAGCTGATCGGTGGCACAATGCGTAGAACGGCGACCTTGTATTTTTTGGACTACATGGTGTCAAATCGTCTCACTGAACTTGAAAAATATGTGTTTTTTTATTTAGGTCAGCACTTTTCATTTTGCCGTCTGTAGATGATATTGAAATGAATATAGACTGTATTAACGAGTGATGTTTGTGTTTTTTGGCAAGGTCTCCTTCATGTAGTATCTTTATCTTCACACATGGAGGTCTGGTCGTGACGAATCTGCAAACGGAACATTTGAAGCATAAATACAGCATGCATCGCCAGTTAAACTGGGACACCGGTGCTGTTGTGTTGTTGCCACCAAACACGCTAAGCGAACGTTACTCTCGTCACAGCGGGAGTCTCACAAAACTGGAGCGGCCATATTTAGTAGCAGAGCTCCAATCAACCGATTCATAACTTTACAACCGGACATGGACCTCTCCACAGTAGATATAAACTGACCCAGATGCTTGCTAATCGATGTATTCATATCTTTAAAGTTAAAATCGATTTCCGGTCTGTATCGGTGAATCTTTACACTCCTAGTGTCCAGTGTGTCTCACTTATTAATAAATGCTGCAATCAGGAGCCACACCTGCGTCAGATTGTTGCTATAGAAGTCTTTGGCACTTATGCTGAATTTAAAAAAAAAAAAGATTAAATAACAACATCAAAAAAATGTACCAAAACTTGTTTATTTTCTATGAACGTCTTTATAAAATTATTAAACACTACATCAGTTTTTATGGCCAGCAAAGATGAGATGAAGCCATAACCTCAACCATCTCATTGTTATGACGGTAGAGGTTTCGCAGTAATTTCAGTGAGGAGGTTGATTCCTCATCCTTCGGTCTTGATCACTTTGGTGAACTCGTCAACTGTTCCATCACTGTTAAAGATCAAAAGTGTGTCCCAGCATCACAGAAAGACCTGATGGACGTCTCTGTGTCAGACCAGCTCACCTCGTACATTCACACCAGGTTAGATTTAAGTCTCTGACAGGATTCTGCCTCCCTGCAGGTCAGGACATTGTGGAGTCTCCTTGGTTTCGCCTCTGGTCTAAACATTGCAGGGTCCTAGAAAGACAAACATGAAAATGATGACTATTTTGTTATTTTTTAGAGTCAACAGGCTCATTCAAGATGAGCCACACTTACATAAATTTGATCACCAGCAATCATCACACAATGCATGCTGGTTAGATTTCTGTCCAACTTCATTATGACTCAAGATGCTGCACTGATGACAAAATCCTGAGATTTTTGGAACCAGGCGCCATAAGGGGTCCAACTTAAAAAAATCTCCATATTTTGTCGTTTCCCAAGTCGTTGTTTATGTCGTTTAGAAATTGGCTTAACAACGAGATGTTTGATAGAAACTTTTTAACTGAATTGGAGAGATTTCAGTTTTATATGTCTGACAGTGAGGGTTTATTCTGTGAACAGAATGCATGTTGTGAGTTGATGGTGATGTTAGAGAGGCTGAAGAATTTCAGATTATAAAATCAAAAACTGTATACAATATATGGTTACAATCTACTGTATACTTGTGTCAGATTGTTTTCATTCTTGAAGTATTTAACAACCCAAAGCTTCTGATAAGGATGTGAGGATTCTTTAAATAACATCTGTACAGTGAAGCTTGGAAAAATATCCAACATGCCAATATTGTGTTTAGACAATTCAGTTATGTAGTTTGAGAAGGATGGATTTGCTTAGCTGATTTATATGCAGCAGCAAATTGAGGCTGAAACACCAACACAGATCATAAATTGCCTGTGGAGAATTTTATTAGGATGCCCTGTCATAATAAAGACTATCTGCATGCAAACTAATAAGGGTGTCTGACAACATTTGAATAAATCATTGTTTCTGTAAGTTCTCGTACAGACTGACGGCTGCTAGAGACTGTCTATCTTTACTCCTGACTTTCAACTTTTGTTCGCTTTTTTGGAACAGTTCATCTTGAATGAACCTAATGACACAAAAGCAGACTCACCCGATTATCCCAAAAGGGATGAGAAGGATGACAGCAGCAACAAGGAAGGTGAAGCCCTTCATAAAGTACAGTGTGGCTGGAAAGAGGGAGTTAAAGAGGCCAGTGCCCACCAGTAAGCACAAGCTCTCCACACAGGCAACAAAGGCAAACAGGGCACCTGGGAGAAAACACAAACGCACATTGTATAACACCCTGCAGGACACAAGCTGTCCCTTGTGACAAAAGAACATGTGCTTCCAATTAAACTGCAATGTTGCATTGCTGATCTAATTAGTTCACTGACTGATTCTACGACTGCACAGCTGGCACAATGAGCTTGCTCTCTCCAGACATTTATTATATGTAGTTATGTAGTTAGACGATATGTAGTTATATAACTTTTCCTCACATTCTCAGTTTTAAACATGCATTGTATTGGTACATGATCAGTGACTGGACTGACCTTGTTCTGATGGATCCACCAGCTGGGACAGCTTTGACCTGATCACAGGCGTCGCAATCAAGAAGAGGAAGCACAGTCCATAACCTGGGGACAGAAAAAACTGCAGATTTCCACTTTGATACACAAGTAAAATCCTCAATATCATTTGTAAAGCAAACTATAAAAGACTACAATCAACTACTCCAAGGTATTTTTTATTATTAATATTTTTTCCATAATTATGGCAGCCGTAGTCATTCTTTCATAAGCTAGTCCATACCTACAGCAGCTGTGCAACTTATGTACAATCTCTGAAATCTTCACTACGCTGCACAGTTCTTGGTGGACAGTGTTAATTACTGCCAAGTGCTACAAACAGAGACAGTAATGAGTTTTTTATTGGCATGCAGTCAAGGCTGCCAGCATACATATGGCCTGTTTCTGTGTCACCTGCTGAGCCGTACCTATGGCAGCATTTGCTTAATCACAATGTGAGATTTTTTTTCTCCTGCATAGCAGGCAAAGCACAAGGAGAGGTCACACTCCAAATGAATGGTATTAAATTGCCATTTAGGGCACCTCTACTACAAGGGATAAACTAAGAAAAGTCTTCAACTTGTCTCTAATTATTCTTAATGGATGCCCAAAAGAACACATCATGCTTTTATACAGACAGATTTTTCGCTGTGTTATTATTTGTGGTATCGTCATGTAGTTTTGGAGAATAACTTTAAGATGAAATTTTTACAAGTCAGCTAACAATGTCTGCAAACAATCTGGAGGTTACCAAAATGCTCCAGAGCCTCTCACCTGTGAACATGAGCGCTGTGGTGTCAGCAACAGAGAAGACAATAAGCGCGACGATGTTGGTTGCCAGACCCACGAGAGCCATCCATGAATCGTTCAGGCAGCGCTGCATGATCTTCAGCCCCAGCAGACTGGTCAGGACGGCCAGGTGCAGAGCTGCTGATCCATAGCCAATGAGGTCTGGTCCCCAGCACAGCGGCGAGCTCAGCTCGTACAACACATATAGATCTCGGCTGCCGAAGTGAACAGTCACAACCAGAAAGAAGCACAGCGTGTAAAGCCACAGCTTGCATCTGTGAAATCCTCCACCAGCCTTGTTGCTGCTCCCTCCTGTAGAGTAGAGGTGCCAGACAGCTTTATAGTGGCGAGTAGTGAACAGCTTGGCATCCGGGACTCGTGGGACAGACTCTCGGACAAACAGGTAAGCGTACAGAGCTGAAGCCAAGTTGGTGGCTAGGACCAGCCAGAACGGGTTGATGTAACTAAAAAAATTACAGAAATAAACAAAAAAGTAATGCTTATTTATTTACTAATAAATAAATTAGAACAGAATTATTATTATAACATTATAACAGAATTTGGTTAGCACCTTTCAAATCAAAGTCACAAAGTGCTTTACAGTAAGGCAATTAGACAAATAATAAATACAAATTCACACACATAAAAAGACTTCAAACATGCAATTTAGACAAGATAAAATGGTCAAGTCAATGATTTTTTGTGCAACACAGAAGGCCCTCTGGTAAAAAAAAAGAAAAAAAAAGACTTGCGTTATGAAAGAAAAGTAACAAGTGTCAATATTGGGGTTATGAGAGTAGTGTCATTTAATGTGAGATTTTTACATAAGTAATTACATATTAGGGATTAAACCCCTACAAAAGGATTTAAAATACTACTTTACCTGACTATAATAAATATTAGGGCTGAGACCCTACACTGTTATTGATTATTAGGAATAATCTAACTAATGTAATAATAGCTAAGACCCTATGGTATCATGAATAGCAGTCTTTTAAGAGAGCAAAGATGTGGATCTTGAGCAAAGGGCACTGGTGTGAATGATACTTCTTAAGAACAATGCACACTCCTTACCCTTGAGCCTTGCGCCACTGTCCTCCGATGATGCTGGCCAGCATCCCTGCGAGACCCAGACAAGCCTCCAAGACAGCCACCCTGAAGGTGCGAGACTGCTTGTCACTGACGTCAGCCACATATGCGAAGGAGCCTGCTAGGATGGCAATAAAATCACCTGAAAGGCCACTCAGCAGCCTGCCCACCAGAAAGTATGCCACAGGCAGCCTGAGGTACATCACCACCAGGTAAACCACCGCCTGCAGGGCCAGGCCAAGGTTAGGGATGATGAGGACTGGTTTGCGACCTGCAATGTCGCTCCAGGAGCCCAGGAAAGGAACCACCAACAGAACAACAAAAAAGCCTCCCAGACTGAGGTACAGGTTCCAGTGGGCTGTCAAAGTTTCCACCTCCTGAAAAAAAGACAAGTGCAATCCAGTCAGCCAGACTGAGCAGGGATGCTGTGATGGCACACGGAGGAGATTCGAGTTGCTGCTTCTTATGTGCACCCTAAATGTAATTTTGTCTGTCAGTTTGATTATTTACCGATTATTTACTCTGTCTAACCGACAGCTGGTTTGCCTGTTCAAATTTTGCCTGTTCATCAAATCCCTCTTGTTTCGTTTCAGCTTGTCACTGCTGTTCCTCTTTATTGAACTGTGTGAGGGTTAAACACTGTGAGACTTTCTCATTGTTCAAAAACTGATCCATTTTTTAAATTGCATTTCAGACACCACTGATTCTGCCTCTTTCAATTACTTATGAAAAATGCCTCTCAATGTACCTGTTATTTTTCGTTATGGCCTTTCCTTTAAGTTGCCAGAGCGATTTATGTTTTTTATGTGTGCATAGTATCTTTTTGTTTTTAGAAAATACCTAAGACTAATCTCCCCTATTATGCTTCCTGGCATGCTGTGCATTTCAGACTTCTGTCTTGCATATTTGAATCATTTTTAAGTACTTGATAATGTACTGAAAAGATGACTTGTATGTATTTACTAGAACCACTATTCCATTTTTATGATGGTTTTGCATGCATCAATCCCAATTCATTTAAACTAACCATGTAACAAGGATAACTGGACTAAGGTGAGGTTATGGACATGCTGACAAATTCAAATGGCTTCCCAGGACAGTCATTAAAACACAGCCATCAACAATGTCAGGAGTCCCACTTGTGTTTTTCCTCTTCTGATGCTGTAGCAAAGGTTAAAACTGTTTTAAAGATCAATTTGTGAAACATTTACTTTGTGACAACAAAAAAGGCTTTAAAATGTCCATCTTACTGTCAAACCTGCACATTTAACAAGCAGACTTATGTAACTGTTAAAGACCACATATGGTGGAAATCCATTTTTATTGTGTTTTGCGGTTGTTTAGAGGTGTAAAGTAAAAGATGTTAAGATATGAAGACGTTTACTCCTGTCATTCTTCAAACTCTCCCACAACCAGTTGGCCTCCCAGCTTTGCAAGCCTGGAAGAATTTTGCTGAGCTGCTGCTTTCTAGATGAGGAACCAAAAGTCATTTTGCTCAAACTTTTTATAATTCTGTCTCTTCACTGCTTGCTGTTTGTGAGGTAAATCATTCAAAAGTAGCTGCTGTCTCAAAGTCCACCAGATTTATTAACTTTCTAGAGCTGTTATTACAAGCTCTAAAACATCTCAGTCATGAAAACATGGAATTTTCTGCTGTTGATAGCAAGAAGTTCACTCTTTATATCTTTTTGCATCTCTCTGTGCTCATATTTAAAGCAGCCGAATTCCCCCTAAAACTCTTTGCATATACATATTTTGCTGTGAGATGTCAGACAAAGGAATAAATATGAAATAGCGACTAAAAACGCCGTCTATCAAAACAATCATCAGCAGTCATTTCTACACTGCTAAACTACTGATTTTATAAGCGCAATGTTGTCTCACCTACCACATTAGTGAAAAACAACAGGTGTGATGTGAATTTGGAGATATTTTTGAGCCAAATCATTGCTCAGAGAGAAAGATCGAAGAGACACAAAGTCCTGGTCTCACAACTCATTTGTGTCTGTGTTTTGCTCTGAGTGGTCAATCACAAATGCAGACAGTTTTCTTCCTGAAGGGAGTGTGGACAGCAGCAGTTAAGTTACAGTCGTCCTCAAATTTATCCAAACCCTTCCACTAAAGAGAAGGCAAAATTCACAAAAGCCACTCAAATAACTAGAAACTGAAAAAAAGTGATAATAAACAAAAATTCAGTAAATTATTATTTTGTGAAAAAAGCCATTGATTTTGAATTGTGGTTAAAAAGAATAATTAAAAACAACAACAACAACAACAACAACAACAACAAAAACCCCCCGCAAAACTGTCCAAGACAAATTAGAGCACTTTGCTGATGAGCAGTGGACCAAAATCTAAAGTCTAATTGAGAGTTACAGAAAACACTTGACTACAGTGATTGGCTCAAAGGATTGTTCAACAAAATAGTAGTTTACGGCCCCTTCATGCATGTTGGCTTTTTCTTCTTTCTCTTCTACTTTTGTCAATTTCAACTTACTTTAGTGACAGCTGATTTTTCCTTCTTTAATGGGAGGCTATGAATACATGTGAGGACCTTACATACACTGAAACGGTGTGTTTAGAGCAGGACTAAACCTACAGTCATGGTGAACTGAACCATCTTTGTAGTATTTTGAGCAGAAAAACTTAAAGACGTAACTTGGGGTCATGTGAAACTTGTATTAATTTGCTGAAAAGGGACACACCTTTAAAATGTCCACCTTATTGTACAACCTACACATTTAACAGGAGCAGCTACTGTCTATCTGTTACACCTGTACAGGGGGCAAGCGCCCTGCTTTTGTCACCACACAGACCGACTCAAGCTAAACGTGCCCCTGACACTGTGCATTTCACGGGTACCTTCTGGAGGGGGTCCAGGGGCACGGAGCTGTTGCCGCACTCGGTGCTCTTAGAGCCGTTGTAGCCCAGGTCCTCGCTGATACGGTCCCACAGATACTGGGTGGACAGAGGAGTCTGCAGTGTCAGGGAGAACATGGTGAGGAACATCACCGGCTCCACCGTCACCGGTAAGCAGCACGCAGAAGGCGACCGGACGGAGCTGGTAATCGGCTCATCGGCCTCCTCTCCGTGGCCGAGTACGTCGGACAGTTGTTCGTCAGTCGATGCGGCGTCGAGGACATCTTCGGGGAGAATCGCAGCGGTGTCCGGCTCGTACATGGCTGAACCGTGCACGTTGGTGACCGGAATGTTTTCACAGACAATGTGGTGGAAACTTACAGTTTGTGCGTCAAAAGCGACGCATTAAGTGCCGGTGTAGCCGCGTAGCTAACGAGCTAGCTAACGATGCTAACGCAGGTCAGTTGACGGTGCTTCTGTTTATATTGGCTTTCATAAAACGAGCAGCTTTAAGTTCACTTTTTTCCCCCAGCTCAGCCAAAATGAAGGAAGCTAGACTGGCGCCTCATTACAGCGTGGACTCAGCGCCCTCATCTGGACGAAGAGGTGAATTACACTTTAGTCTGTCTGCTAACCTTCACAGGCGGGAATGAAGTGGATATATGTCCCATTAACACTCAGCACACACCACCCCAATAAAGACATTAAGGATTTATTCAGAAAGTGTTAAACAGGAGCAGAAATGGTGGTGAAACACATTAAAAAATAAAGTTTTATCTAAATAAATTAGATGTATATATTAATATACAGCTTCCTCCTCCAGATATTTTCTCATAAAGTTGGCAAGATGGGGCCACATCCAGTCTCGGGGTTGTGCACCAAAACCACAAGCCATAACTTGATATTTTATGATGCTGTTGTTTTATAGAGGCTATAAAGACACTATGTCATTCTGGTGAGATAGTAAAGAATATAGATACTGATATACCTTGGCCCCATATTTTCCATATCACTCACTGTGTGACCTTTAGCACCACTTTGCTGCACCTGTGTCAGCTTAGGTGAATCACTTTAAAGTCACTTATAGAAAGAAAACATTTTGTATTTTTAATTAATTGACATTATGTTGTAGACATCTGCTTTCACTTAGACATGAAGGAACCATTTTCTATAAATTCTTGTCTAAAAGGCCAAATTAAATTGACTGTAAAAAAAAAAACTTGAAAGATGGGTGAATATTTTTTGTCACTCCTACTGCGTCCCTCATATATCCTGTTCAGTATGTTTTATAAGACAGTTTTGTTACATAAAGTCTTGGGGTTTCACAGACAAAACCATGAACCATAACTAAATTTCAGGATTTTTATTGTGCTGATGTTTAATAGAGACTATTTTAAAACTATGTCAGTATGAGAGTTAAGAAATCAAATACTGATATACTTTTGCTACTTATTTTACAATGAAAGTTACAAATTGTTGGTTGTACACAGACTTACACAGGTGCAGTTGACATTTTGGGTATTACAGTGAGCGCCAGTCAGAATAGCCCCAAAGAGGGGAACAAAACAAAACATCCAGAGTTCATGATTTCAATATTCAAACTTCTGTCCATGTGTCATGACAATTCACCCAACTACAGCCAGTTATGGTACAATAAAATGCGATTTCATTACTACCCATTGCTCTATTTTGATAGTTACTTTGTTGATTAGAGAGGTCTCATTGTGCAACGCATCCATAAGCACAATGAATTCCCTGCTGCAAATACTCTACTGTGAAACAGAAAAATGATCCTAATAAAAAACTTGACATGATAGAAAAATGATTTAACTTTACTAACTTTTGTAGTAAAATGATATCTAGCTGTGCTGTTTAAATTATATAGCACATTTAAAGCAACAGCCTTTGAACAAAAGTGCTTTCTTTAAGGTACATTAGATTGGTGTTATTAACCTAACTACTTTAGAGATTGCAGTTAAGACCCTATAGTGTTATGTATGATGTGACTATACCTTCCATCCATCCATTATCTATACACCGCTTAATCCTCACTGGGGTCGCGGGGGGGACTGGAGTCTATCCCAGCTGACTTAGGGCGAAGTCTGGAGACACCCTGGACAGGTCACCAGTCCATCGCAGGGGTACACTTAAGAGACAGACAACCAAGCACACTCACATTCACACCTACGGACAATTTAGAATCACCAATTGACCTCAACATGTTTTTGGACTGTGGGAGGAAGCTGGAGAACCTGAAGAGAACCCACACTGCATGGGGAGAACATGCAAACTCCATGCTGAAAGATCTCGGTGCCCCCACTGGGATGCGAACCGGCGACCTTCTTGCTGCGAGGCAACAGTGCTAACCACCTTGCAGCCCCGTGACTATACCTTAATATTTTAAATGTTAAGAATCAAAGTCAGTACCTACGTTTAATAAATATTGAGGGTAAGGCTCAACAGTATTATTAATTATGGAGATTTTCCTGACCAATTTAGAGCTAAAGTTTTGATCGTACAGAATTCCTACTGAATTCTCTATGAGAAACCTTAGTAGTAATTTTTTTCTCCTTCCTTTTGTCTTCGTTAGTTTCCATAAAAAAATCTTTCTTTTTCATGTTTATATTTGTCACTACTCCATTTTTTTTTTTTTTTTTTAACAAGAGACCTCCAGCAGATCCAGGTTCAGGGCAGGTGATTGTTTGAAATTGCTAAATGCCAATTAATTTACCATTGATATACTAAGGGCCCACATGCATATTTACAGATATTATATCACTCATCCATAAATTACTCAACATGACAGAAGAGTAAATCATGCTTATATTTGAGTTGAATATTAAATGCAAACAGTTTATCTGCAGGAGAGTAAATATTTGAACGCAGAACAGAATACCTGAGCGCTTTACTGCATCATATTCCATCACATCTGGAGCTGTCACATGGTGCCTGTTACATTTTACTACATCCAAATCCTAGGCATAAGTAAAACTTTCCATTGGAAATACAGCGCTTATGAGGAAAAATAACCAAATACAAATCTCATAAATAAAGATGAATGACATTCTATTTTACATGTTGTCTTGCTGTTTGTCGTTTACACATATGTATTTATTAGTAAATTCCGTTTGCAAACATGATCGTCTCAGTGCTGTTTCAAAGTTTTCATATTGTTCTGTAGTCGAACAATCAACAACAGACACACACACGCACGCACACACACACAGACACACGGGGGGTGAAAGTAGGATGGTGATCTGGTTTGTCTGCATTTCAGCCTCTGTGAGACGTTTTTCACTGGAATCATAACATTGTCTTTATAAGTTACACCCACACAAGTTACAACCCCTTTAAACCATGTTGTCCAATGGATTTTTTTGTTTTTAAAGCTTACCCTTCAACAAGACAGTGACAGTTGTGACTTCGTAGCTACAATCAAGCAATTAAAAAAACCCAAAAAACCCCACACAATTTAAAGAAAACACTTAAACAGCTTTAAACATCTATACCATTACATGCGTAAAAGTTTTCAATGCGCATGCTCACTTTAGTTGCTGAGGTTTATTGAATTTCCCTTCTGGGATAAATAAAGTATTTTTCATTTCATTTATTCTTCCAGCCACTGCATCAGGTGACTGTCGGTATGAAACAGCATAAATGCGCTGAAGGTAATAATCATCATTTTGTTGCTTCTTTACAGCTGACACAGACAAAACAGCTGTCATATTTTACAGTTGCAATCAAAAAGATTAGTTTTTCTGTAGATTAGCAGTAGCTCCTGATTATTGCTTACCTTATCTACACCCTATAAACACATGAAAGCACTCCCTCTAGCAGGCCCCTCACTCTAAAGTTAATTTTTAATCATTTGTCAGGGTGACATGCTGCATTTATGGCAATATATGTTGTGACTTGATCTGTTACCGCCTCATTGAAAGTCCACCGGTGTCACAAACTTTTTTCTTCTTCTGACTCTTCAATACTTTGGATGTCCATCACACCTTTGGGAACATGGCTGGATTTCTTAAACATCTGTGGAGGTTTAGGAATTTCATTGTGATAATTCTTACACCTATTTTACTTCTGGCTCTGCCACTTGCCATCCCAACCTCGGTAAGAAAATGAACATATGTATATGTGTTTGTATGGTTTTCTGTTGTAAGAGACATCTCCAGACATATTTTATATTTCGAATGGACCTGTGTAATTGCTTGATGTGTATTATATATACGATACACTAATGATTTCAGCCGTCAAATGTTGCTGAACGTGCATAGGTTTAAACGTGTGTTTCTGGCGTTGATTTGCATTGTTGGGATGCCATGTAAAACATTAATACTCATACAAATGTGACAGAAACGTAGATAAAAAGCCAGCAGGTACAGCTCACGTTTCTTCAGATCAATAACAAAATAATGTACTGTATGTGAAACTAAAGGCAGAATGCAGACTTTTCTCTCTATCAGGATTAAAACTCTGAGCACTTTAGTAATCATCTGTGGAAGTACTGATTAGATAAAACCAACAAAATCCCTTTTGGTGTTGTGTTTTTGCTATTTGAGTTAAATTAGCATGCATCCTAAAGTCAAGCTCAGCACACACTTAGGTTTGACATGTCTACTTGGTAGCAGATATGATAGACGTATAGTGCAATGCAGCCACAGGTAAAACATCAAAAATGCTTCCAGGTGTTTTACTGCTCAGGCTAGTTAATCCCTGAGATAACCAACAAAGCCAGTTTGTAGTGTAGATTATCCAAATTCTTAACCATAGTCTCCCAGACAGGGTATGTGTTCTGTTCTGGCTGGATTAGGCAGTGCAAAGGTTATAGTACTCTTACTATACATGTAACAAAACCCTCTTGTAAAACTTACTATAATTGTGATATGTAAGGGGAGCAGTAGGACAGGTCTTAGTGCTTGAGAAGGATGATGGGGGGAGGTGTTACGGTGCCTGTAAAAAGTATTTAACCCTCTCGAAAGTTCTCTCCTTTTATTGCTTTTCAACTTTAAATCAGGGTCAATTTGAATAGGCTTTTTTTGACAAGAATTTACAAAAAAGACTCTTTCATGTCAAAATGAAAACAGATTTCCACAATGTAATGACAATTAATTAACAATCCAAAATGTAAAATAAGAAAAATAAAGCCAAATTAAATGTCTTAAAAATCTATAATAAGGAAAAACCTCTGAACAGGGTCAGTAGTGTGTGTGGGTACTCTGCTGTTATCCCTGTAGTAATAAAAATAATTTATATTGTCATTCTGAGTAAAGGAGAATATTTTGTGACAGGACTGTTTTGGTGGAGCAGCTTCCTAAACAAACCTCTTAGAATGTAGTTATGTGTACCAGAGAGAGATTCACACAGGAACAATTTTGGATGTTGAAGACAGTATTAAGAGGAACAGAAGAAATGAAACATGAATCTTCGGTGAGGAAGATTATAAAATAATATCATGTATTACGGTATTACACATTTTTTCCCCTTGGCATGCAATTGGCATTATATTAATACTGACTTTAAAATTGCTAATACTTGGTCTTTTAAATTAAATTCTAATAAATTTCCTAAATCCACAAAGTAAATTTGAAAAATAAAGAAAGACATGGTTCCAATAGTACTGTGTCCGCATCTGTTGGCAACTTTTGTGAGACCACTGCATCAGAATTAAAGGGGTAACCTTTGATAATCACAAAGTATATTAGTTGCTTTACGTTGTCTTCTTAGCAGTAATATGTCGTGGTAAGACCTCCATCAGTGACCCTTTGTACTGTGTAATCTTTGACCAAATTGAAAAGTGGGATCATGTTCAGGGGCTAAATCAGTTCCATTAAATCAAAGAATACAATCTGTCTCTTTGAGGTCATCACAGATGATGCAAATTTGAATAGATATAGTTCTCTGAATGTTTTCTCTTCAGCTTTGTGTGTTTTATATAACATAGTTATATACTCTACATGCAAAAGAAAAATAAGTAATGAAATACACTTCCTTTGTCTACCACCAGAGTCCATGAATGTGAAATCAGGGTACAACATAAAATGATTTTACATGGGAGAGACAGAGACATCACGTCTTTCTGTATTCTTTAATTCTCTTTAACTTGTCAAAAGTAAATCCAACAGCAGTTATATTAATGTTCACCGATAATTGCTCTAAAACCAGTTTGGTTTTCTGACCACTCAGTCAAAATTGTATAGTGTCATGCATTGTGTTCATCTGAAAGGAAAAACATTATTTATGGTGTTCCTCAAGGTTCAATTTTAGGTTTTAATTTTAGCCTTTTTTAACCTTTACATGCTGCCACTTGAAAATGTCACCAAGAGGTGCGGCATCAACCAAGATATTATAACTAACCATTATTCAGTTAATCTGGGTGAAGAATCATCTGGTGTGTTTTAGCTCACTTACATGCTTGACATGTTAATTTCTGTCTCAGATAGATGTCAACACCCATATCAGACGAATAGAAATCATGTGTAGCACACAGTATATTAAGTATGTTAAACAACACAGTCTTTATTTGCATTTACAGGAGGCAAAATGTGGTTTTGTGATAATCCTCATGGCAGTGTACTGGTGTACAGAGTGTATCCCTCTGGCTGTGACTGCCCTGCTGCCTGTTGTCCTCTTCCCAATGATGGGTATCCTGCAAGGATCAGAGGTATGTCCAACTCTATACTGTATAGTGACTGAATCTTAGACTTTAGATTTTAATTTTTCTTTGCATCAAAGGATTAACAAACCAATAAGCTCCAGATTATTTTTTACTCTCTGACATGATTTTATTTAGATTCTCCTTTCTTCTCTTATCCAGGTTTGTATCCAGTACCTGAAAGACTCCAACATGCTCTTTTTTGGTGGGCTGGTGGTGGCCATTGCTGTCGAGCACTGGCACCTGCACAAGAGGATCGCCCTTCAAGTTCTGCTTGTTGTGGGGGTGAAGCCATCCCTGTAAGACACTTAAATCTGTACATACACCTCTATTACAGCGACAGTATGAAGTTTTAGGGCTCCCTTGTTCACATACCTGCCAACACATCTAAAGCAAGGACCATAAAAATGGTCTAATGGCTTTCTGCATGCAAGACCTGACATTTACACAGCCCTGAATTCAACCCAGTCCTGCATCTTTGAGTGAAATTTGATGGCCAACTGCATCATTGCTCAGCATATCTTTTTCATATCTATGCAGTCAGGCAACAACATTTTATGGAAAGCCTTCCCAGAAGAGAAGGCTTTTATAAGGCTTCTTTATTAATATGTTGTTATGTAATAGAATGAGATGTTCAGCAACCACATACCACTGTTGGGTTCAAGAGTCATGTGTGTATTGATACTGTTTTCCTGTTTAAATACTTTCTTTAACGTTCGCCTCATCATCCAATTCCCTGATTCACTTCCAGACTGATGGTCGGTTTTATGAGCACCACGGCCTTCCTGTCCATGTGGATCAGTAACACAGCCGCCACAGCCATGATGCTGCCCATCGCCACTGCTGTGCTGCAACAGCTGTCTGACACAGAGGCCAACGCTGAAGAAAGACAATATGGGCTGACTGTTGCAAAGGATGGTCAGGACAACCAGGCGTTTGAGTTGGAAGACACCAAAGAAACCAACAGCAAAGAGCTCAAACCAAAGGACAGCACTGTCACCATGGGTGTGTTTTACAGTTGCAACTTTGTTTTTTGTTTTTTTATTATTAAACTTCACATTTTTCTGGTTAAAGAGGTTATATTTGATTTTCTAGTTTTGTACTGATGTTGCTGTAATGGTGTTTGCAGATACAGATAAAGATGAAGACTGCAAAGACGTGAAGGAAATCAAGGAAAATGGTGTTACATCAAGTAAGGTTTTCACTTTGTCTTTTGAGAAGAGAAATCCTGGATCTGTTTGAATAGTTATTATTTGTCAAATAATTTCCCACTGTCTTAGTGTGGAAATATCAAAATAAACTTTGACCAAGCTGCTGAAAACTAATAGTAAATTCACAGAGTTTAACAATTCTAGACAGCCCATACTGCAATTCTAATAAAATCATCTTACATATTAGACACTTCAACCATTAAGATGTCTTAATAATACCAAAATTTCTTCTTTGTCCCTGCAGAAGTTTGTGACACGAATCCAGAGGCAGAGCAGCGAAAACTGAAGAGGGAGCAAAAGTATGCAAAGCTGTCAAAAGGCATGAGCCTGAGCATTTGTTATGCCGCCAGCATCGGAGGAGTAGCCACCCTCACTGGATGCACACCCAACGTCATCATGAAGGGCCAGCTTGATGAGTATGACCTGAACATAGACACATTTCAACAGAATAAAATGGGCAAGCTTTTTGGATACAAACTCATCTTCTGGTCTTGGACTGACTGACCGAATTCAGGAACTCAGAACATTTCTTTTGCTAAAATTTTGCTCACAGATTGCCTTTCTGAGATTAAGGCAACAACATCAGTGGCAGCCACAGCCTCTGTTAGGGTAAAAGTCCATTCAGCTGAGCAACAGGACAGGACAAGTTCTGATCAAGTCTCTGGTTTCACTCAGTCAGTATCTGAGAGTAAAATACAATGTGAAAATGCTGCATTGCACACACTAAGCTGTGATATTTGGGTGGGTCAAAATTCAATATGAAGAATGGGCATTTTTATAGCAGACTGTCCAAATTGTAAAATTTGCAAATTCACTTCCACCTAAATGGTTTAGATAACTGGATTACTCTAATACAGAAAAGCACCTTTCATTTTAAACACATGGCAAGTAGATCAAGCAACAACAATGTTGAAGATTATTTTTCTGCAGTTTGTCGATAGTTCTATACTTGCTCATGTCCCAAGAGAGTCTAGTCAAGTTTTTGGTTTGTTTTCTGATCTGTTTTTTTTTTTTTTTTAAATCATCAACAGACTCTTCCCAGAAAATGGAGGCTTAATCAACTTTGCCACCTGGTTTGCCTTTGCATTCCCCCTCATGGTGCTAACGCTCATCTTGTCTTGGCTGTGGCTCCAGTTTTTGTTTTTGGGCTTCAAGTAAGATTTAGTCTCTTTTAGATCATTTATTTTCACTTTTAAATCACTCACATCAAGAAGAAAGGGATTAATTCATTTTTGCAATATGTTGCTCCAGCTTGAAAAAATCCTGTGGATGTGGCACAAACAAAGATGGCGACAGGGAGGCCTACCAAGTGATCAAAGATCAGTACAAAAAGTTGGGCAGGATGAGCTTCGCTGAGGCCTGTGTAGTGGTTATCTTCACGTTGCTGGTTCTTATGTGGTTCACCAGAGAGCCTGGGTTCATACCTGGCTGGGCCACTGTGCTCTTCAACAAAGACAAACCGTGAGTACATTGTTGTTTGTCACACAGCTTTGGCCATGTGTAAACTCCACCACAGCTTTTGGGTAGCTAATTTTTCACTTTTTCACACAAAAAAAGCACTTGATTAAGGTCTTATTTATCATTATTCCAATGCCTATGAATAAGAAAACTGATTAAAAAATAGCTGCTATAGCCTGTTTTCAACACCATGGAGGGTTGTTTTTTTTCTGTGTTGTACAGCAACTAGTATCAATCAAGTTAGTTTTTTGTGATATTTCGGTTAGAGTGAGTGAAGTTTGTGATATTGTGCCACTACACTTGCATGGTGATTGCAAAATATGCATGCTGTTGAATCTTTAATCATTTTTTGACCTCACACATGAAAACTTAAATCAACAAAGTGTAAACTTATTCATGATAAAGATATAGCAAAACAGAAATCTGTGATAAAAATAGAATATTGTTGATATTTTAGAGATCCCTGAAAAATGTACAATTCATGTTTTCAAGACTAGGTTTGTACACTGAGCTTTGGATGCCCAACACTTAACCAAGAGTTTCGTCCAAGGAGCAGAAAATCTAGACGGGGCAACTATTAGTTTGTCTGTTGTATCTTGAAGTGCAGGTCCAGTTTCAGGTATCTGATTGATGACTCAATCTGGTTGTCAACCCTCTGTCCAGTCTTTACGGTTTATTAACACACTTTTCTTATTATTATAATACCGAATAACAATATAAATGATTATTGTTTTGCAATGTCAGTAGGAGCAACAGATATCTTATATTTTGTTTCCTAATAGGTATGTCACAGATGGCACTGTGGCCATATTAATGTCATCACTGTTCTTCTGCGTCCCATCCAATTTGCCCAGATGCTTTTGGAAGTCCAAAGATGGTAAGTCTGCTAAGAAGTTCAACATTATTTCATCGTAAGTTTACAACAGGTGCACTGACAGAGACAATGAGATTGCCCATTTGAACAGGATATGTCTGTTTTCATTTTCACAATAACATTGACACAATTGTGATGAAAATACACAACTCAGCATGTTTTCAGAAAAAAATAAAAGTATAGTTTGCTTTATGTTGAAGCAAGAATTAGAAATTGAATATCTTTTCGGTTCTCCAGTATACGTACATGTCTGGACAGAGCAATAGAAAGTGCTCGTTCTGTTGTGTCACATTTTATGTTTGTGACATGTCATATGAAGATAGGAGTTATGAAAATGTCTGTTCTCTATCTGTGACATCTCTCTGTTCTCTAACAGTTAAAGATATTGTCAATAACTTTTACTGCCTGTGGCAACTCATCTTGCTGATTCATTGCTTTCTTACGAACTCATCTCCTTCCTGAGTTGTATCTTGATAGCCTCAAGGTCAAGCCTGTACAACAGTTTGTGCTGCTCCCTTCCTTAGACAAACTACTTTTGTACCAATGGTTATTTTTTTCTCCTTTGGTAACTTAAGTTGAGCGTGACCTGCTCCTGCCTATAAGCAACACAGCCTTTGCTGCTCCTCAAATAGTGGAAAAGCAGTGTTTTGTACACAGAAGGGTGACACAATGATTAAAGCACACTTTAAAAGGTGTGATGCAGACTTGGAGGTGAAAAGGTAAACAGGTTCAAAAACATAAATCCAGTTACAACAGTTCATTTAAATTACTCTTTGGCAGCTTACCCGTGTGTCTTTTTATCTTGACCGAACACGTTTATAGTCACATCATCTTATCTGCAGACAATAAAATGTAGACTCTTGCAGAAATAACGCTGTTTATGACTGCCCTGTCCAATAGGTGAAAACAAACAGTCAGCCACAAAGATAAAGATTTGTACCCATTTTCTTCTGTTTCTCCTTATTCTGTAGGGTCCCCTGCTGAAGCCCCCACACCGATGCTTAATTGGGACATTGTCAATAAAAGGATGCCTTGGAACATCATTTTGCTACTCGGAGGAGGCTTTGCTTTGGCCCATGGAAGTGAGGTAACGCAGCTGATCATTAAGGCCACATTTTTCTGAAGATACTTCTATCTAAATGTATAAGTGTTTGGATACTGATGTGTGTTTTCCAACACTGGATAAAGAAATCTGGACTTTCTCAGTGGCTGGGAGAATGTCTCTTACCGCTGCAGAGCATCCCTCCTTTCGCCATCTCCATCCTTCTGTGTCTGCTGGTGGCCGCGTTCACCGAATGTTACAGCAACACCGCCACCACCACACTCTTTCTACCGATACTGGCCTCCATGGTGAGACCTAACATGATGATAATTCAGTCTTTAACTCTTATTCTCACATACATCTGGTGCAAGGAATATGTTATAGTACCATGTTACGCGTAAAATTGTATGAAATCTTTTTACCCCAATACTACAACAAATTTGGTTGCCAGAAGTAATAAAATATAAAACATGTTTTTGTTTTTGTCATGACTACATCAAGTCTTGGCTGGTTTTGACATATTTATTATTTGTAACTGTTCGAAAGAGGCTTGAGACGTCATCATGTGCTCATTTACTGTGCCTTTTCTCAGCGTTCATCTCAAGTAAGAGGGTAAAACCTTTACAAGCAAATAAAATCATATATTTTGTATGCAGGTTCAAGCTGATCATACAGTATATTATCTATGAAAGAATTTATATGGTTCTGTAAAAATGGGAAAGAACTGAAATCTTTTTATTGCTCCTAAACGCAAAGAGCTGCAACCCTGAAGATGCATATATAACCGATCTTTGCCTGAGCTTGATTGATGTCAAAGAGTTGCTCCAAATGTATCAATAACTCTAAAAACCTTCATTACTACTACCTGCCCAATTAGCATCTGTCATAATGCCCTTTTTTCCCAGGCTACTGCCATTAAGATCCACCCGGTATATGTCATGCTTCCCTGCACCTTCGCTGCCTCACTGGCTTTCATGCTGCCCGTGGCCACTCCACCCAACGCCCTCGTCTACTCCTACGCCAACCTAAAAGTCATGGACATGGTAAGACCTTTCAGAAAAGAAAAATGCCCCATAAGTGGGCACGTTGACATACACACAGTATATTGGATAAAGGGGCATATCCAATTTTTAGATAAGCAGCTTATATTAATCCTTATATCTGATCATTATCATATATTTGCATGCACACAATATCCTGACTATTACCATGGAAACTGCGCTTAGGCAGACTGAGGAGCAAAAGCAATGTACGCATGCCTCAGTGGCTTGATAAATTGATATTGATATTATTAGATTGGTCAGAGGCTTACTTTGATGGTGTTGACAAAACATTGTTTTGCTTTTGATCAGGGTCCAGATACCATTTTGTTTCTGATTTATTACTTCTCTGGTTGTTCCAGGCCAAGACGGGATTCATGCTGAACATTATTGGAGTCGTCGCCATCAATATTGCTATCAACACGTGGGGCGTTGCCATGTTTCAGTTGAACACCTTTCCTAATTGGGCAAATGTAACGAAGACTCCTTGAATGTGAACTCGAGGAAAATATCTTCCTGTTCATCAGGATTCTACCACTGGAGGATTGGGCTGGCACGTGTCTTGGTATTTGTAGTTAAACTCCCTTGTGTACTGCAGCCAGAGCAGGCTAATACGCTAATAGGTCTGTCATTGAGCGTTGACATAGATGCTCCCTGCGATCTTGCTTCACCGTGGGTATACTGATTGAAAAACTTGGGAGCATCATTCTTTGATTTTTTTTTTTTCTACTGAACCAAATTTCAGGTCATTTAGATAAATCATCTTCTGGACACTCTATCAAGCAGATCAGAGAATAATGCTTTCACAGTTAAAAATGTCATTTCTACGTAGAAATAACAGTCATGATATTTAAAACAATTGTTAATGCAAGCAGATGCCAGTCTGAATTGCAGTGAATATGTTGTAGGTAAATGTTTACATTGTGAGGTCTCATTGTATCTGTAATAAACAGTGTTACACTATTTGTTTAAACACTGTTTGTTTCTGTCTGCATACACTTATTACTGTATCAGTCTAGACAATGTGATTGCTGTTTTTTTGCAGCTACTCGAATCATTCCTGTTATTAAATATACTGTGTTGTTAACTATGATTCTGTGAGCAAAGAAACTCTCTCCAGCCTTTATTTATGAAGACTGGACATGACAAACTAACTATCATTCCTACTTTCTCATTTATATACAAGACTTGCAAAATACTGTCATTAATAAAACAAATTAGTGCTTTTTGTGTCAAACAGAATATTAAAAAAAACATCTTCACAGCAGAAATGCTGCATTTTTAAGGGTTGACTGTATTTTCTGACTGTTAAATTAATTGATGGGTTCAAATCTCATTGCCATCAATAAGATTAGGACCACTGGGCCCACAGCTGATTTAAAGAGGGCATTGGGGACAGAAGGCAAATCCCTTCAAAGGGTCAATGTGGGAGAAATGCAAAATGATTGAAGGTAAGGAAAATCTATTATATGAGACTGATTGAAAGCATTTCATTGAACTCCTTGGCAGGGGGCCATATATCAGCTGTGTGTGAAGGCTTGGAGCAGAAGGGATTTTAAATACGTGAAACTCCGGGACACAGAGGTCAAAAGAGTAAGCGGTTCTGAAATCCAAACCATTTTTGTTTAATCTAGGGGCCATGCTTCTGGTAAAAGCTGAGCAACAATATCATTCTCTCTTGTTAAATTTGTTCGCACAGTAATGGAAGATAATAAAGGTGTGATGGACGTCCGTGATCGGAGGTAAGACAACATATTTATGTTATACATTCTGTCTTTTTTCATACATGATCTAAGTGGCTTTTACATCCATTAAGTCTCAGTATGTTTTGTGACTTTTACATGTTCAGCTTTACATCTCTGGTGGATTGTTAAGTGTCCGTGTCATTCTTAAGTTACTGAACACATACAAGAACTGTTGAAATGTGAACCCATACGATGCAGAACCATTTGCAGTTATCATACTCCCTTGAAAAGCTTACCACTTGACTGCACTTTGCATTTCTGATTCTGTTTTTATTAATTGGTCATGACATGGCAATTGTGAATACTACATATTGAGTTTGGACAGACAGCTGCACATTTTATTATTAAATATCCTTGGGACAGGAGAAGTAATTACTGAATTTCTATAACCTCACCCTGAGCCAAAAAGGTAAAGTACTCAGTGATAAAGCTCAGTGCCTCAGGGACTCTGAATGTTTTCCTTTGACTTATCAAAAGACACTCATAAATCACCGTTTCTGAAGACTTAAAATGAGGAATTTGACTTTAACTTACACTTATTCACTGTGTACAAATCTATTTTTATTGGAGAAAACGCACCAGAAGTTTTGTGATGGCAGTAAAAACAAAGCCAGCAGTGCAGCAGCAGATATTCTGTTACTATTTTTTAATTACTGACAATGGTTAAGGTGTGGTTTTGTGCAAAAGCTACTACCAAAGAAATCCTTGAATAGATGATGAAAATGAAAGCTCTCATTAAAATAAATGTTGCTTAGGCGTTGTCTGAAAGTGAAGTAAACAACAAATGTTCTATTGTTAGAAAAAACGTGAGGCTGGTGGATCACTAAATTTGTGAAGGAAAAGCCAACATTCAGATATTTTTCAATTGGTAAAGTTTAGGGCTCTCTAATGTTTAGGGCAATAAAGGAGGTGCATTTTGATCATTTTAAAGATAGGGATTATTTTTCATTTAGTGTTGCTACATCATTCACAGTGACAGCTTCCAGGGAAGAGGTGTGCCGCAATTTTCAAATATTTGTTTTTTTTAATTTATCCAAGAATTAGACAGACGGGTAAATTTCACAATCACAGTTTCTGTGGATTCGTTCTGTCTGACAATCTTTTTACATGTCACCCCTCTTTTCCCCACATTTGTCTGTTTTCGAATCTGTGTAGCAAGTTTCCTACACTTAGCTGATTAGTTATTATCTTCATTAATGTGATAATCAGCTTCTTTAAAAAAAAAAAAATGTAAGAGGAGTGTTTATTCTGTAGAGGTTGATGGTTGAGCTGCTGTCATGCTGTGCTATAGTGGAGTCATCTAATGTGCCGTCTAACTTCAGTGATAATGAATGTATTGTTAGTGCCAATCACAACACAAACTCATGAATGAAAAAATAAGTCGTGACAGACAATCTTCATTGAAATTGTTTCCATGGTAAACAAAAGTATTCAACAAATTAAAAACTTGATGATGTTTGATGTCATCTTTAGGGGACCATCAATGTCTGTGTCACTTGTTATGGCAATCCATCCAGTAGTTTTGGAGCCGGAAAACAATTAGATATGTAATCATGTTGTACTACAGGTACCAAGTGTAACAGGAGCGGTGATTTTGAATACTTTGGCAGGTATGTCTATCTGTCTGTCTGTGAAACTGTGAAGGATCCAGCCAAATAACTTTACAGATGTGTTGTTAAAACGAAATGTATCCGACTAACAGGATGGGTGAGGTCTAACCCATGAGAACTGAATATACAGCAATGTAATAATAACTTCTGAGTACTGATGAGATGGAACAACAAGTTGCTGATGGGTGTTGCAGCTGGTGTGATCCATCACCAGGTGGTCTCTTCACACCAGTTGAACCAGCATGTGTGCATTCTGGAGGTACCACGTGTTCATTTGTGTGACATAAACGGAGATTTTCCTTTACCATATAACCTGATGACCTGGACCATTTCCCAAAGCACACTAACAAATCAACAGTTTCGCTATTGTTTTCTTTCTTGTCTGGCTCTCAGCTGACTTTTGATCTGACTCTTGCTGTCAGAGCTATAAATGCCTCCCTGTCGCAATAAGTGCAATATATTGTAAATATACAACTCCACTACCTCTGTCCAATATCCACTCTGTGCAATATACACTGTGCTCATTTATTTTCATCTTTTTATATAGAGTTCTTTTTTTGTTTGTTTATACATATATATGTATCTTCTATATTGTATATAGTTGTTTTACAAAGTTTTTATATTTTTGTTTTTTGCACTGAAAGGCCTGCACTTTACTTTTTGTTGTACTCCCTACAATGACAATAAAACAAATCTGAGTCTGAATCCTCTCTTCTAAATGGACACAACGCGAAAACCTGTCTAAAGATCCTTTCTAAGCCACGTACACACTGCTAACAGGGTGTAGACAAGTTTACTTAGTAGCCATCTTTAAACAGTGGAGGGATTTTGCTGCACCAGTCTTGAGATACCTTGCGGGAGTTCCATGATTAGCATCTTGAGTCATCCTTCACCAGGCACTTTCATAACTATCAAAGCCTTGGATTGTTAATTGGCAACAATATCTAAAATAAGTTGGGAGTGTCAATGTTATTTCAAGTTCAGCAGAGTCTGGGAAAATAAGTTGTCCGATTGCTTAAACTTTATCATTAAAATAATTTGGAAATTCCTTACTTAGCCAGGGAAAGCTTCAGTGGACTGGTTTATTGAAAGAGTGATCACAGAGCTGATTGTTTTAAAAGGATCTCTGGAATTATGGCCCTGACTTGAAACAAGATGAGAGAAATACTGTGTTCTAACTGTTATAATATGGTAGATTGACACAAAGTTTTTCAGGTGAGCAGGAGAATTGAAAAGCTGACTTTTTCCCCCGACTTTCACTCTGCCTTTCTGGGCGGCCTTTTACGATCAGTGATCCTAAAGTAAAATAAAATCCTAAATGCCGTTGCAGGGTTTATTAAAAACAAGCTTTCTAAGGTTAAAACTCTAAAGTTTTTATCTGCTGCACCTCACTGGAAACAGCACAGCCTTAGCTAAAAGGAGAGAGAAAACTCAGAAATGTCTGTCGTGCAGTTTAACAAAGTTATAATGCCATAAATCATATAAAATATAAAACCTAAAGTTGAATTTCTTTAATTATTTCTTTTGCATTTTTCCTAGTGCCCACTGGTGTTATTGATTCTGGACGAAACAATTCACATGCTATAGATGCTATATTTAACTATTTACATTTTTACAACATCTATAGATGAGACATTTTTCACAGTACGCCACACACAACTCCAGAACGATATTTCACCATGCTAAATGTATCTTACAACAATTTTGCTGTCAACTTGCTCCTCTGTATGATTTTTCAGCCATGCTGCTTCTATTTCATCGATGGAGCATGTTTTATTTTTTTCCGTCTCTCTTGTCCTTCACAGCCTGCAGTTCGGCCGAAACAATTTTTGTAATGACTGTTGGTCTCATCTGAGTAGGTCATGACTTCTCAATGGTACATTACACAGATACATTAAAAACATTATAAAAGAGACATTTAAAAATATGATGAATTGTAACCATTTCAAGCTTAGATTTGGGTAAATTTCACAACAGAACTGCACATAACACATGATTCATTCAAAGACCTTCTAAAAGTTGAAATTTGCATAGCTCTTTTGACAGTTTCTGATTCTTTCAGACCTGGTGGTAGGTTTTGAGAGTTCAGAAGGTTAAAAGAATTGAACAGCTTAATGAAATCAAAACCAGAAGAGA